AATCGAACTATCGATTACTACTACTGCGCTGTGGTTAACAAAACCGCTTTGTTTCCTTTTTTGAATATGCCTTCAAACGCACGAACAAAGTTTCAAATCTTAAGATGACAAATGTAATTATACAGTTGTCAGAAATTTTTAAATTCTATAGGTGATGTGATGAAAAATAAAATACAGAAAGAAGCTCGCAATGGAGTGGCACTCTAAAGAACCAAAGCAACTGAATTCTAACGAAGCTGTACTCTAAAACGAATTATTTGAGTTTAAGAATAAAGCGCTTATGTGACTCGCTGTTTACCGATAGTTTTACTTATAGTATCGAGTAACCATACATCATTGTCTAAATAGCACGAAATACTTTACACTTCAAATACGATATAAACAGCTTGTCATAAAAATTAACCATCAGGTAAATCAGATGATTGGATGATGCACGGTAAGATGCACAGTTGTGCGAATATATCAAACCACGTAGGAGAATTATGCTCATGTTTGCCTTTTTGATGGTCGTGATTCTAGCAGATTTTGCTTATATAACCTTCGCACGAAAATAAATGAATTGCTTACGCATACAGAAATTCATTTGAATACTCAGAGAATAGCAAGCGTTGGATTTTGTTTTAACGGGCGGCTGAAGCGTGTGATTCATGATTAATAACAGTATTGTAAGACTGAGGTATTGAAAGACGTTGCTCTTGTGCGGGCTTTTCTTATAGTGACAGTGCGTGCTTAGCTTCGGCTAAAATACATCGCACTTATAGTAAATGGTTATTGGCGCCTCATATGTCGTTTATCTGTGATCAAAGCTTTGTCGAACGGTGATTCAATGTACTCCTTGCGCGAACAGCATTTTATCATTGAGATTAACAAAAGATTATCCCTGTGTCCTTAGCTGCAAGCATTCGGTTAGAGATGGTAAGTCAAAGGAATGCGGGGGTTTCTCGGTCAACCTTCGATAGTTGTGGTTGCGAGTTTAGCGAAGGTAAGTCGTATCAGATGGTAGTTACGCGTGATCAAAATTGTTTTCTCGTATCAATGCTGATGGCATGAACAGCAAGCCACCCGTTACGGTCAGCACGAGCACCTCATCGAGGCCCCTACAGAAGCACCAATGAAGAAGGCTACTGGGGGACTTCGTTACATTAAGTTTCGATCAGCTGAATTACGGGAAGACTGTGTCTACATGCAAAGACAACTCTATCTGTGCCTTATAATGTTGCTCTGCGGCTGTGCGCTATATTTTGCCTCGTTTTATGTCTCGTTTTTGTGCTGTTGGTGACTTTTTCCATAAACAGAACAATTAATGAGTAAGAAGCTTGACGAGGGTTGCGTTTGTTTGTTGAGATGATCACTCCGGTCGTTTACTTACGTATTCGGTTTTTGATGCCCGCTGTATTCGCAGCATTACAACACTTATTTTAAGTCACCCTTACTGTATCGTAAAAGGAACAGTTTTTCTCTGAAATTAGATTTGCCTGAACTCTGTACCTCAGTGTGTTATATGCTTTCCTGATCGTCTGTCATGTTTCGGCTCCCACACTTGTTGCAAAGAAGCTCGCAGACTTGTGCAAATGACGTATGCCCAGTCGGTTTGTTTATCAGGGCTAATGTCTTTTCCTTAGTTTGCCCATCTACTAAGATCACGTGTGCGGAAGAAAAGTCATTGCTCACGGGATCCTACCGTTTAGCCCTCATTATGCGTCAAAGCCAGTATTGCTGTATATAGATTGACCGTCGTTGGAACAACTGCAAGCCGTGCAACATTGACCCTTTAGAGGCAAAGTATATATATACGTTAGTATTATGTTTTTCACTGTAGAACCTTTGTTGCTCTTGCCAGTAAACTCTCGATTTATTGTTGTTCTTGTTATAATGGTCTCGGTGACGTTTTTTGCTGCCGTATATAACTGTGAATTGATTCTTCGAAGCCGCATTAATTTTTTCAGTCAAGCGTTGATGTGAATGTTCAACGGCAGTTTCAGACATTGTGCGACAGTTTGATCATGGAGCCTGCGTGTGACCACAACGGCGGTGGCGCTTCGTCGTCATCGAAGCTACAAGTCGTAATTTCCTTTGTTGGTTATTCAGTTTTGTTCTTTGCTATTCACTGCTTTCCTTTTCAGTTGGAGACGTTGTCATTGACTGAACTAATCACAGTGGTGAAGAAACAAGCAGTTCTCTC